ATCTTAATAGATAAGCTAATTAAGTATATAACGTATATAGCGATTACTAAGAATCTAAAGATTAATAGTCTTACTAATATCTTATAATAGAAGTTTATATTATTACGCGATATAATACGTAATTTAATTTCGAATTAAGACTTTCTATTTATAAGTAAATTCTAAATAACGCTATATTAATATCTAGGTGCGAAGCGTAAACTAAGTATTACGTTTTATTCTTAGATTAATAGTTAGATTAAGAGATAAAATTAGATACTAGAATATTATCTACGAGTATACTATAATTATAAATAGAATAACTAGTCTAAAATCTTATTAATAGCTACGTTTATATATAATAATAGCGTATATATAAATATTAGCAAGATCTTATAAGATCTATTAATAAGATATATAGTAGACTTAGAAAATGTTTCTAAAGGTAGAATCTTAAGAGAGAAAGCACCGCTTATTATAGAGTAAGTAGAATAATTATAAGAGATAAGATCGTATCTAAAAGAATTATAAGAGCGAGCGTTAAAGTAATAAGTAAAGTATTATAATAGTAATTATAAGATTATAATCTTTAAGAAAGAAGATAAAGTACTATTATAAAGCTTAAATATATATATCTTATAATTAAAGAAGAAACTTGATTATAAGTAATTTAAGCCTTTTAAAGTACTAGAGAAAATAGATATATAGACTTATAAGCTAAATCTTTCTACTAGATATAAAAAAATTTATTCTATATTTTATATATCGCTATTAAAGCCGTAATACTCGCGTAATAATAATTCGAAGTTATAAGTAATCTTAATTAATAAAGAAGAAGAGTAGGAAATTAATAAGATACTAGATAAAAGAGTTCGTAAGAGCGAGACTAAGTACTTTATTGATTGAAAAGACTCTTCACCTTACGAAGCTTTATAGAAATTAATAAAGTATCTCGAAAATATTAAAGATATAATTAAGAACTTCGAGTAAGTAAAGAAGTTATATAAATTAATATCTAAGATAAAATTAAAGATATAATCGTTAAAGGGGATTAAGAAGTAAGAAAGATCGCGGAAATAGTAGTAGTATAAGAGTTTCGAAGGGCGAATAAGTTATAATTAAAAGATCTAGCGAAAATAGCTAAAATATTTATAAACCGATTCTAAAGCGTCGAGGCGCTACGTATAATAAGAAAAATGGTTATTAGAGTTATATACAAGACCACCACTACTTAGCATTAGCTTATCTATTATCTCATACTAGAAAGCAACTATTTACCCAGAAGATTCATTAGATAATAAAAAGACCTAGCATAAGAGATAGCAAGAGAAGTAGCCAGAGAAGGGGCGAAGACGGCGGCGTTACGCCGAAGTTTCTCAATATAACAAGCTGTTACATATATTAGCTACACACCCTAGCATATACCAATAGAATTTATATCGGTTTAACGGCGAAGGGTAGCACGAACATTCCCGCCAGTGCGGGCCGCCTAAAAGACATCACCCTAGTAGATAGGGATTGAGTCTATAACGCATATATAACCCTCGCGGAAGTACCGCCCGTACTTACGCTAACGCGAGCTAGCAGAAAACGCGGTGCAAATCGCATAAGGGTTATATACGAGAGCACGCATACAACGGCAATAAAAGGGGACTAGTATACGTTAGCGTAACCTCTCAATTATTTAATATCTCTTTCACTCACGGTTGATGTCCGAAGTATGAATAAGGGAAGCAGCGACGGGAGTAGCGATAAGAGTAGTAATAAAAGTAGCGATAAGGGGGTTGATAGCCTTCTTAGCTAAGCACTTCTTTAAAATGAATATATATGTCTACCAGTAATAGCGCGAGGCGTAGAGACCACGATGGCTATAAGCACTTAATAACCCGCAGAGCCACGAGAGCGAAGGTTTAATACCACTATCGATATATTAATATACTTCTTATACTATCTATAAAGCATCGCAAAGCATTTTTTAAGGTGCTTATTATGTGTGAAGTTAATCTAAATAATTATAATCTTATTTAACTATTATCTTAATTAATATATATACTATACTATTACGATAATACGTAGCTCGCTATCGCGATATTACGATAAGAATAAATGAAGGTAAGATAGCAGATATAAAGAAGGACTAGGTACTTACTTATAATAGCGTTAATATTAATATTATTACTAAGAAGAATAAAAGTTAAACTGAAAATAAGTTTTTTATACTCACTAGCGCGACTTTCAACGATTATTATAATAGAATTATTATAATTATAAAGTGATAATATAATAATAGCGTATAATAATAATAATAATAGCACACCGTAATAGAGTAGTATTACGCCTATATTCTATTAATTAAAATAATAATATATATAGCGATGCTATCGCGATTTAGTATATAAATATAATAATATACTTAAGAAGATCTTAGAGTATATAATATAAATACGCTATTATAATATACGTTAGTTTAAACTACGTTTAAATTAATAATAGATAGCGTAGATAGTATTAATAAGTTCGTATATATTTAATTATAAGACGTAATAATAATAAGATTTAGAGGCTAAATCTTCTAAGGGGGGATATAGTTATAAGAGTAAAAGTACTCGAAGCGAATTAATAGACTCGCTTACGTTACTTACTAGGCTATAAGCTATATAGCTAGAGCGAGTATTTAATATACTTAATAAAGTCTTAAATACTTACGAGTCTTCTTTCCCCTTTCTCTTTCTTTAGTTATTAATTTAACTAGTAACTAATCTATTTATTCTATTAACTACGCATCTAGACCTCGTAATTATATAGCTACTACGCAGTTCTATTAAAAGAGGCCTTACTACCTCACAGCTAGCTAATTTTATTTAATATAGTTATAGAGATATAGGCGTTCTCTAAAGTTAATTAAAGAGATACTAACTTTACTAAGTACTTTAAATACGTATATCTACTTTCTATAGCTTAATAATATAGCATAAGCGTTATACGAAAGTTTTATATTTAAATGCAACTATATACTAGGTAAGCTACTCGGGAGTCGCACGGGCGTGGGCCGCTTTCGACTAGACTAGCGAGTGGGTTAGGTGTAAAGAGAAAAGCCGGCACAGTAGTGAGCACACGCAAAATCTGCAAATCTACTAGGTACTAGCATGGTTTCAGAGCTAGCAAAACTTTACTTCTTGATTCTATAATAGTAACCTGAGACATTATTATTTAGGGCAGATATAATTATTTAACGAATACAGAGGTCTACACCGAAAGTCCTACACCCGCCAAGACTCTTACGCTCAGACTTCGAATAACGCCCTATCTAAAGGGCTACCTAAATAATACGTCTAAAGTTCTTCGAAATCGCACCTAGCCCTAGCCAGGTTTCGAGGCTTAATACCCCTATTAAGTTAAAAGAAGTATCTAAAGTCTTATTCATGCGCTGTGAAAATATATTTCTAGACTTCCCCTCTATAGGGCCGCTTTCCGAAAGTAGGGTTAGGGCTACACTAGTGCGGGTGCAGGACTTTCGGTACAGACCTCTGTATCTTCAAATCTATTATTTAGCTTTGTAAGGAAATCTTTCATAAATGGTTTATATTATCTATATAAAAAGTTGGAGTGAGGAGGCCGAAGGGAGGAAGATAACGAGGGGTTGTAAGAAAATGTAGCAAAAGTCATGCATAGAGAAAGTCTTAATTTCTCTGCGTTCCAAGAGGAGAAAGTTTTCGTTTGCACACGTTCTCGTGCATGTCGACCAGAACGATTGAGCTCTTCGTAAGTTTTCTCCAAGACAACAATAACGATCATTGAGGGAAAGTCCGTGGCAATTGTCACTCTTTTACGGCAACTCGCCTGGACCTGTAAGACTTTAACAAGTTATTCTTGCCCTCTGTGCATGACTTCTGCTACATCCTCGTAGCTGAAATGGCAATTTTCTTGAAAAAAATCGTGAAATTGGTCACTATTTTCCGGCAACCGTCGAACATCTACAATTCCTTTAAGGGTTTCCGCCCTCTATGCATGACTTTTGCTACATACTCTCAGTTTGCTCTGGTCTTGGAGCAGCGGCAACCTGTATAATTACTTTTGGCTTCTCTCCTCGGTCGGAACGGGGAGGGGCCGTACACAACGTCCTTTGATGAGAGATGGAGGATTATGCTGAACTTTGGCTGGCAAGAAAGTTCCACGAGAATCGATCCAGCAATATCAGGGAGTTTGTTCCACGCATTGATAGCCCGACTTCAAAATCGCCGCACTGACTGATGCGGCCACCGGATCTCGCTTCAGATGATATTGGGATGGATACCTGTACTCTGCAGCCTGCTCATTTCCGTCTAATTCGGTCAGCGCGCTACTCGTTTAATCTCAGTCAGGGCAAGAGCTCACTGAAGGCAATATAGATATATTCGATGATCAATGGAACCCACACCGCGACCGCTATTATCTGTCCAAGACTCCAAGTGTATGAAATGAAGTAGTGCTCAACAAAGGCCGTGAACAGCATGGTCTGTGCAGCGAAGCATAGCGACCACGGAAGCATATACCAGGGTCCAGAAAGGACACCTGCGAAATGTTCTCCGCAGAGAGGTGAGGATGTTGTTTCGGCGAAATCTGGCAGCAGCCCTTGCGCGGAAGGGAATGTAGCCTTCAGCGCCGAGGCTCTTTTCGACAATGCAGTACAAGAGCCAAATGATGCAATTGGCCCATACGACCCAAATCCGATAGTTGGAGGTTGTATCTCCTAATGGCAGAAACTTGTTGCTTAACTTTGAGTGCCCACAGAGCGTTGGCAGGTATCCAGCGTTGGATTTTGCATAGATTTCACACGATGGCGTATGGGAAGACACATCGTTGACATTTGGAGTAGATTGGTAAGTCGACTCAAAAAAGCAATATGCAGAACCCATGGTCGCTGTAGCCAGGAGGACAGTGATCGTTGATCAGACGATCACATACCATGAATGGCGTCCGTAGCGTGTGATACATGCAAGGACCACACATATGGGCACAGAGACCCTAGTTGCTAAAAGCACTCATACATTGCCATCGACGAGGTCTGCGTCAAAGGTTGGCTCGTAGCTCGTTAAGTAAACACTGATGTCGCTTTGGTTTTGGTGAAAGAGGATCAAGGCGGTGATCTGAATGGTGCTTGCAAAGTAGCATTGAGCCTTATGGAACTCGACTAGGGCTGTGATCAGGTTGTCTTTATGTTTTGTCAATGGGGTCTGAAGCTCAATCCGAGGCTCGTCATGCTTCTTTATATCGTCAGGGGCTGGGGTCTCCTCCGGCTTCGTAGAAAATAATTCGAGGATTATTAGAGCAACCAGATCGAGAACAGCGATACCCGAATGTATCACGAAGGACGAAAAGACCTGGATGTTGACAGTCAGTAGCACGTTAACGTTGCTGGGTGTTAAAAATGCAGAACCTACTCCAATTCCAGCAAGATCCGGATTGAGAGTTATCGGGTTGCATACTGGATTCCGCAGTCGATATTGGCCATTTGAGGAAATATATTCAGCCTTGTAACATTTCTCGAATTTGAAAACCTCCAAGACATATTTCAAGGCTCGAATCCTGGTCCAGAAGAGGAAATATGGACTTGGAAGATACATACTGTTGTTCATGCAAGTTTTGAGGCTTGAGACAGTGCTGGCCCAGCCAGCACTGCCTGCATGCGTGCCGAAAGGAAGAATGTCATTCCTCGAGCAGTTAGCTGGTATAGTACCGTCGTCATTAAAGGAAAACTGTTTCACATCGCTGTAAATCTCGACTAGGCAGTCACTGATAGTGTCTGCGTATGACAGAGTATACGGAATGTCGTCCAAGTTCAGGCCAACTGCATTGAATGGTTCCAGAAGAGTCAAAGATCTGGTGTCATTGGGCGGAAGAAGAAAATTGCCCAATCCATCGTAGGTCAAAGAACTGACTAACGTAGACCACAAGCCGCAAGTCACCAGTGTATCGCTGTTGGTTAATTCAAAAAGTGATATGCTATCGTTGCATACACTTGAACACTTAGTGATTGGGTACTCGTAGACTACGGAGTTTCCGTAGTCTATTTCCGTTGAAACGTTGACGAATCTGCAGGGTCGAACAACGGATAAATTCTCATTGAAGGTCAACCATGGTTGTATTGTGGAACTAACTAGTAATGCCATTGTCGAATTGAAAGAGCCAGGTCAGTGTAAAATAAAATAAGAGAAGAAGCCGCAACATATGAAGGAAATTAGTCCTTGCTCTCTATTGCAACCATGCTGACGAACTCGCTGTCCCCCATCAAGCATCCGGATGATAAGCATAAGCTGAAACCGTTTTTTTAAGTTCCCTAATACTTAAGTATTTGTATAGGGGTAACGAGGCTCCGCCCTTCGAAAAGAATTAACAAGAAGATCTAAGAGAATGTACCTTACATCTTCTACTCCTCGCGACCTACGACATAAATCCCAGAGGCCCGAAAACGAGCGTATGACTTCGTACCGCGCGTTCTTTCATTATTCTTTCAAGAATAGGCGAGTCAACTGCTGACAAGATCGCATAGGGTGGACTGCCGATTTTCAGCCGCATAAGTGAGACGGCACAGGCGTTCAAACATGTATTCTCACTACGAATCAAGCGTTTAGAAGCTGTAGGATCAGAATAAGGAGAAGCTACCTGTATCAGTAGCATAAGGCTGTGGACATTTTTATCACCGTGCACTCAAGACTTGAAATATACGGCGTTACTCGCCTACGTGTAACTTTCCAACGACTGGCCTGTTCGTCTTATACTTCTGTACTTCTGCGGTAGTAAGGAAGCATTGAATCAACGAATCTAAAACTACGAGTATCTGAGTAGAAACTCGACAATTTACGATGACAGATTCATCTTCTTCCTACCGCCGCCATGAACTCCGGCAGCGGCCTCAGCTGTCATGGGGACGGCTTTCGCAGCGGAATACCATAAGGCCGATTCTCGAGTTCACAAAGAAATTGCTTAGTCTTAGTGGCTTCTGCTTTACAGGAGGGGTGTGCCGTAATGACCTTGCGATATGATTGGCCCCCGAAGCGAGGAACGAATGTACTTAGGGCTGGCCATAGGATACCCTAAGCCCTAGTAGGGTCGAGACGGCGCTTAGCGCGTCTGCATTACTACATTAACATTCGAGGATCGTACAGTTTAGATGAAAAAGTCGCGCAGTCGATGAAGCTTGAGAGCCTTCGCTGCATGTCTATTCCTACTTTATTTAAGACACCTCCATAAAAGTTCTGCAGGGTAAGGGCCGAGCTCGCTTAGCAGCCGACCAAAAGCCAGTCCATGCACAGAGCACCCGATTAGGACTAACGTGGCCGCTCTGCCGCGCGGTAATCCTCAGTCAAGGATACAGTAGGCGTCTGCGCATTTAGATCTCTGCCAGTCCGGCGGCAGCTTCCTCAAGATGTTGGGATCCCGATCAGCCCATCAACTCAAGTCCTGTAGCCTCCAGGTGCACTGAAGCTCCTCGAGCCATGCAAAAATGGCACATCCACTCTGCAGTCGGCAGAGGTGGACCGGTTTTATACCAATTGAGAAGCACAATCGTCTCCTCTCGTCACTACCTCCATATTACCTCCCCTCGCGCTCAGGAAAATTTGAAGGACAGAATCGTAGAAGGTCATATTGGGCCCCAAACTGCCATCTATGAATTCTCTCTTCTGACAGACCGCTATAGAACCGTCAAAGCTCCCACCCAACCGCGCCAAACGTCTCCGAGAAGCAACTTCTTCCATAGAAAATCTCTATCTCCGCTCTACTGCTCATGACAACTCGAAATCTGGCCATAGCAAAACAGATTATAGATCTGTGTCTTTAGAAGGCTCCTCACGCGACCAACCATCTCTGCTCGCTTCGCGGCATATCGGAGGGGTGCCGCTGAGCAAAGATGCTATCGAGGGCACCCGAAGAGCCCCATCATTAGATGGTGGCAGATTTACAATGGCTCCTGGTAGACGGCAACCGTTCCCCAGAGCTGAAATTCCCGCTGGCCGAGAAGTAATTCAACCAGCTGTGGATGCTAGGAGTTTGGGTGCTAGGCCTGAGGGAGCACAGGGGCCTTTTCTTATGAGGAGAGTTCCGAGGGACGCTCCTTGGGGTCCTCCAGAGAGATCAATATTCCAGTCTCGAGACCTGCAAGGCGACAGTGGCGCCCAGAGTCACCGTTTTGAATATACGAATAGTGTCCAACCACGCTCTCCCAGAGAAGAGCTCGGTATCCAGCAACGTCCTCCCCGAGAGGGATCAGCTCGCTATGCTGGTACCCAAGGAGCCGAAAAAGCTGGCCAAGCTTTCCAAACCCGCTTCACAAGAGATCAAAGTAACTTCAAAGCTCGCACCCCGAGACGCGAAGGACCGCCCCAACAGTCAGGCCGAAGCCGCGGTGGTCGTTCGCAAGCCTCTCGCGACAGTGGCAATTCCGATCCTCGACGGCGGAAACGTGGCGTCGAAGGTAACTATGACAAGGGAGACCGCCGTAGCCGCGACCAGGAAAAATGGACAGAAGAAGAGCAACAGTATCTGAAAGAGAAAGCAGAGCGGAAATCGCAGAAATCTCTGGAGTACGAGCCGGTGGAATGTAGTAGGGAGACGTTTACCGGAATGGGGCCTGCCACTGCATCAGATGAGTGGGGTATGAGCGAGATGCTTGGAGAACGACTGCTGCTCGCGAGGAAATATCTAGATCAAGAATTCATACAGTGGGATAGTAAAGAGCAAAAGGCTGATGTGATGGCTGTGGTTGAGAAGCTGAAGGCTGTCAAAGAAGACGGGAAATCCAATGCGGAGAAGGAGCAAGCTAAGGAAGCTTCGTCAACGTCAGGGAATGGGGATCAGCAAGCACATGCTCTGATGCAGAAGTTATTTGCAGGGGAGTATGCAAAGTTCAAGAGACTAGGGAAATACGATGTTCTAGGGAATGTGGAGATGTACGTGCACCGGAACGACAGCTTCTACCCTGACGATGAGAAGTCATTATTGGAGAAGGTGAGAAGTATATTGCCTGCCGAACAAGCTTCGAAGGTTGGGAGAGGAGCGAGGAAAGAAGTGAAAGCATGAGCTAGATGCAGCTGAATTGAGAGACCGCAGTCACATATCGTTGTATGGTCTCAGGTAGATAGGTTAGATTGTACAAAGGCCTCCTAGAACTATCAGCAAGCACTTTTCTTCATGAGTCACAGCGAATTGAGGGAACAGTACCAGAAGCATAGACACCGGAGCGCTTGACTTGGTCCGAAATAAGCGTAGCGCAACCCTAGCATCAAACGTCGAGAGTTCAGGAACCCCGACCACAGCTCCAACCAGCAATGCGGGCAAAGCTGCCCACCACACTCATTTCTACACTCTCACGCCCCCGCTTCCCCCGCCCGCCCTCAAGGATCACCCTCCAGCCATGCTGCCCCAATAACCCAGCCCCAACCCATCCCACCCTCCCCCCTCCCACCCGAACCCTCACCACAACCACCCCCCTCCTCAAAAAGGGCGGGAAACAAGACTCCAAACGCACCGTCTCCCTCAACGCCTCCAAAGCCCAATCCCAAGCCCACTCCCCCACCGTCAACGCCTTCGACTTCTCCGACTACGAAGCCGCCATCGAGCACGCGCACGAGCACCTGAAGTCGGAATTGGCCAAGATCAAAGCCGGGGGCCGGAACGCGGAGGACATTGAGGGATTGAGGGTGGTGTTGGGGAAGGGCGGTGGGGAGGGTAGGGGGGATGGGGGCAACGAAGGGATAGGGGGGAGGGGGAGAGCGGAGCGGGAGAGTGTGAAGTTGGGGGATGTGGCGAGCGTGGTGGCTCGGGGGCGGAACGTTGGGGTTTTGGTTGGGGAGAAGGACGTACGTTTGGAATTCCCCTACTGTGACAACCAATCCTCCTCCCCCCCATCTTCCCCACGGCCCAGCCGCATCAGTTCTTGGAACCATTGCAGCCGCAAGCGCTGAACTGACACGACACGTTACACAGCACCTCAAACCCGTCCTCTCAGCGCTCGCCTCCCTGCCCTCCCTAACCTACACCACCTCGCCCACGGACCCTCTAACCCTCACGATCGCCATACCCCCCGTGACGGCCGAGTCCCGGCTCGCAGCCAAAAAGCAGGCCGACAAAAAGGGGGAGGAAGCGTTGTTTGCGTTGCGGGAAGCGAGAGGGGCGCAGAGGAAGAAGCACCGGAGTATGGAATTGGGGAGACTGGTTGGGCCGGACGAGCTGAGGAGGGCGGAGAGGGAGGTGGAGAAGGTGAATGAGGGGGCGGTGGGGGAGGCGAGGCGGTTGGTTGAGGGGTGTAGGAGGGGATTGGAGGGGGGATGATTGTTGGAGGGGGTTATGCGGATATGCCTGCATGATGTGAAAAAATGAAGTTTGTACGACAGCTTTGAAGATGGTGAAATGTGTGGGCATGTCTGGTCTTTGTCTATTCACTCTAGCTAAACCGCAATTTTTATAGAAGGATCCAGAGACAAAAGCCTTCGAGACAAACGAATATTACATGCGCGAGACGAGATGATGTGAAGGGGCATCTCCATCAACCTGGCCAGAAAGTAGTGTAACTTTTGAGCACAATAGGGCCCGCAATAGCATGCCACAAATCCGCTACGACACATCGTGGATATCGTCAAATGCACAGCTCTTCTGTTCCGTGAATCGAAATTTTAGCGTGTAGACATGGCCTTAGTCACTAGTCTCTTCAGAGCCAGCTCCTTCTTCTTTAGATCCTCAGAGTTGGAGTCTTCGATTTCCAATTGGGCCATCGCGTCGCTGAGGGCGGTCTCGATCTTCTCCTTCGTCTTACCTTTAAGCTTGAGAGACATCGTTGGATCCGAAGTGATTTCTTCAACGCGGGAGATGTATGATTCGAGTTGTTGTCGGGCCTCGAACTTCTTGCTGAAAGCATCGTCGCTGTTTTTGAACTTTGCAGCATCTAAAACACGGTCAGTAGGAACATGCAAGGGTGTTTTTTGATTGAATACTTACCGCTGATCATGTTCTCAATCTCGCTCGACGAGAGCTTGCCAACAGAGTTGGAAATAGTGATGTTCGCACTGCGTCCAGATGTCTTTTCTGTAGCAGTGACCTTGAGAATCCCATTGACGTCGACTTCGAAGACGACCTCAAGAACGGCGTCACCAGCCTTCATAGGCGGTATCGGTGCAAGAGTAAATTCACCCAAAGAGGTATTGTCCTCGCAATTGACACGCTCGCCCTGGAACACTGGAAATTGCACAGTCTGTTGGTTGTCTGCGACGGTAGTGAAAGTACGCTTCTTGATCGTTGGGACAGTCTGTCCGCGGGGAACCACGGCAGCAAAGATGTTGCCTTCCATCGCAACACCAAGCGAGAGAGGAACGACGTCGAGCAGTAGAAGATCCGCGGTGTCAGCAGATGTGGCTTTCCCTGACAAGATACCAGCTTGAACAGCAGCGCCATAGGCAACAGCCTCGTCGGGATTTATGCTTTTTTCCAGTTTCTTGCCATCAAAGAAGTCGCTAAGGAGCTTTTGTATCCTTGGAATACGAGTAGAACCACCAACAAGCACAATCTCGTCCACTTTGCTCTTGTCGAGGTTTGCGTCTTTCAGTACCTGTTGTACTGGGTCGATGGTGCCGTTGAAAGCTTTAGCGTTGAGGTCTTCGAAACGGGCACGGGTGATCTGAGCATTGAAGTCCTCTCCATCGAAAAGAGAGTCGATTTCAACGGTGGTTTGGGTACCGTTAGACAACGTACGCTTGGCCCGCTCACAAGCCGTTCGTAAGCGTCGAAGAGCACGCGAGTCTCCTGAAAGATCCTTTTTGGTCTTCCGCTGAAACTCCTTCTTGAAGTGGTCCAAGAGATTCGTGTCAAAGTCTTGACCCCCGAGATGGGTATCACCAGCCGTGGCCTTGACGGTGAATACTCCTCCCTGAATGTGCAGCAGAGAGACATCGAAAGTTCCTCCTCCTAAATCGTAGATCAGAACATTCCTCTCCTTCTCGGACTTTCCAGAGCCGAGACCATAGGCAATAGCAGCAGCCGTGGGTTCGTTGATGATTCGCAGGACTTGTAGATCAGCGATTGCGCCTGCGTCTTTCGTTGCTTGACGCTGGTTGTCGTTGAAGTATGCAGGTACGGTGATAACAGCCTTCTTTACTTTCTTGCCGAGCTTGGTCTCTGCGACCTCTTTCATCTACAGACCTGTCAGGAACAGAAAGCTACGTGAAGCGCTGGCAAACGTACTTTCATTAAAACCATAGACGAGATCTCTTGTGGAGAGAACGTCTTGGTCTCCTTCAGGTATTGAACTTGCACCATTGGATTTCCTCCCTGGTCCACGACCTTGAAAGGCCATGACTCGATATCTTTCTTGACTGTAGGGTCGTCGAATCTTCTTCCAATAAGACGCCTAAGGGAATCGTTAGCGATAACCCTCCAGAAAAGCCTCTTCTGGAAGTGACTTACTTGATATCGAAGATTGTGTTCGCGGGATTCATAGCCGCCTGGTTCTTTGCCGACTCGCCAATCAATCGCTCCTCGTCCGTGAAAGAGACGAAGGATGGTGTGGTGAAGCTACCCTGCTCGTTTGCAACTAAAGAGCAGCAAGTTAGTTCTTCCTCGTGCTGTAGGAGTATTCGACGTACTGATCTCGACATTTGTTCCCTCATAGTTGGCAACACATGAATACGTGGTACCTTTGTCCACGATGAGCAAACTCCAAGGCGCAAGCTACGGACGGTCTTACCCAAGTCAATGCCTATTGCTCCTTCGTAAACTTCGTCCGCCATGATGTAAATATGTGGCTAAGTCAATAGAAAGCTGCGGAAACGTTGATTAGGAAAGAAGAGAGGTCCGTGGCGAAGAGAGCGGTGTGAAGGATTTCGTAAGGGAAGCTCAAAATTTTTAAGACACCAAAACGGTGGGAAGATCATACCCGCACCCTAGCGTGATACTTTACATAGGGCTGCCTACTGAATGAACCGCAGACAAGGCCATTCAGAATTTGCAATTAAGCTGCCGTAAGACGAATAAAAATGTGGCCTCGAGGAACAAGCCTCGAAAGGTTGATCTTCTCTACTCGCTCGATACTCAATTGGATTGAGGAACAGAATTCGCCATCCTCAACCAATTGTCCTTTGAACGATGGAGGTAAAGATTTGGGTATGCCGTGGATACTGAACTCCACGCTCAATGCTGAAATGCTAACCAATTCACATGCTCTACGGACTTCGCTCAGAACGAACCGTCTCCCAGCGCTTACGACATCTTCTGAAGGTGAACAAAAACGGTAATCTTCTCAAACTCGATATCCTGCCCAGAACCAACCTTTGGGGCACCTCTTGGGGGACCCGCAATGATTTCGACTTCGATAGAGTTGACGCCAGGTACGAGACGCGTCTCATAGACTGGACGTCTAGGATCAGGTTCTCCGGCTTGTCGAGTAGGTTCCAGTCTATTGTTCCCGCATGAAACGATAGTCTTGCTGGGCCGGTGCATGAGACTCGAAGAGACGGTGGGCGTGATACGCAGGAAAAAGTGCGTATATGGCACAGTAATGGTCCGGGACTGCTGGGTATGAGTGGGGGATGCAGGTATGTCGAGGCTGAGGTGGTCTTTGATGTTCAGACCGGGATGTGTGGAGATGTTGAGATTCGCAATGAGTGCGTCTGAAACATCTAGTACTGTTCAGCAAGATCCAGTGTTTCTACAACGACACAAGAAAATTACCTTTCCCTGGCTGCCTCAACCGTGAATTGAAAGGCGTATTCGAAGCTTGGCTAGTAGGAGCAACGGCGCTTGGGGTTGCATGAGGATTGGGGCTATCACTCGGCATTCGAGAAGACACATGCATTGGAGGAGGCATTTGCAAATTTGAAGCACTCGGGCTTTGTCGAGCTTCGCTGCTTCCATTTGGAATCGCATTGAGTGCCGGCGATTGACCATGGGCTGTTTCGGTCTTCATGCCGCTCATGGCGTGTTCAGCAGATCCACTTCTCTCGTGAGACAGTCGACTTGAGGCGGGAGTTGGTATAGATCCTGAGCGAGAGTGTGAGAGTCCGAAGATGCTGCGGGGTAGAGATGTTGTGTTACCTTTGCCTGGCGCGTAGCCATTGACGCCCGCTCGCACGAGCTCCTGTTGACGTTTGAGAGACTCATTATCTACCGACATTGAAGCAGAACCAGTCGCTTTCTGCCCGCCGAACTTCAAGGTGATCTTTGGTGGTTCTGGAGATTTGGCTGGCATTCTAAGCTTGACCTTTGGCTGTGGAGGCTCTGCAACAGATCGTTTCGCTTCTGCTAATCGAGTATGGAAGTACGACTGGTCCGTAGATCAGTACTCTGTGTTGGGTTTCTGGGTGGGGACAATGAACCTCGAGTTCCTCGGACAATACAAAGAGGTCGCTACCATCCTCGTTGTAATCACGTGCATTGTTCCATATGTAGCTGACTTCTTCCTCAAATGCGTGCCAGCTCTTCAAGAAAGTCGACCCTGTAGGCGGTTCTCTACCTTTGATCCCTCGCACAAGCTTTTGAACGCTTTTGAGGGAGACTGGGTGCTTTATGACCTTATAATAATCTACAAGAGTTCGAGGGGGAAGATGGATGAAAGGTGCAAAGATTGCTTGATCCCTATTGCGATCAATCAGCGAGTACAGGCTCGACAATACACTCCAACGTACTCAGCATCTGTGTGATTGATCATCTCACCCACGATCTTCTCTTGCGCCTGCTGAAACGTGTTGCCGTCGAAGCTTTCGTAAGCACCCTCAACATCCTGAACTGCTGGTGTCGAGCTTGCTCTACGGTCATTTGCTGCTGCAGACGAGCCTACACGTGTGACAAGCCGGGTGCGCTTCTCAGGAGGTTTGGCAACCTCCGGATCGGTTTCACCCTCCGCATCCTGCTCATGGGTGTCCTCCGGCTTTTCTTGTTTAACCTGCCACCCTTGAGGAATTGGGGTATTATAAGGGACATAGCTTGGGTCATTGTAGGCTGGATTGTTCTCTTGCATGAAGACTTGAAGTTGTTTGCGTATCTTTTCGGAGTCGGAGAAGGCCTGGGAGCGCTTCTCGTTGTAGGCTTTGGCATTACTGATCATGCGTCTGAGATCCCCCTCCAAGCTAGTCATATTAGTATACTCATTGTTGTTCAATTTCGCCTAGAGAGTGAGGCCATCGTCAGCATTCTGTGTGGCTATAATGCGAGGGCGTGGATTGTGTAGCGCTGGAAAAACTTGGAAAGCAGAGCAGATGCGCCGCCTCTGACAACGTAAATATGCCTAACCTCGACTGTATCCAAAGCCACAGGAAGACCGACTTTCTGATAGTAGTTGGGTGTCTTCTTCTGTATAATGATTGCGCTTTAGTAGCTGCCCTTGCTCTTGCCAAATTGATATCATACCCTGTCAGGTAGGAACAAGAAAAATGTAGCTATGAGGCGGTCCCTAATATGGAATTGTATTAGCGACTACGGCTTAAGCATGCGTACGCGCACATGCATTGGCATGCTTACCCTTTGTCGCGGGCGTTTTTGATTTGATCCAGGAATCGAAGACCAAGCTTGGTAGTCTCCTCTGGGGTTTCCTCGTCGTTGACCTTGAAGAAAATTGATGTCAGCCATAGTGTGGGTAACTGTTGGCAACTTTGGCACTTGGAAAGGTGGTTGCATTGAGAATCAAGTAGCGCGACAGGCAGCTGTAGAGTTGACAGGTCCGAAGCCTTGCGGCCCTAGCGAAAGGCGATGACCATGTCCGTGAATTCTCCTCAACCCCTCGTCCTTTTTAAGTACAACCACACCACAACCACAACCACACCCCACCCCAACGACATGACACAGACTTCAAAGCAGACATACCTGTGTTTTCCTCCGCTTTGAAGCCGGACCTTCCGTTCCCTCTAGTGCTTGTGACGGTCCTGCGCTCGCGGCAGCTCTTCGCTTTGAGCTCATCTCCTTGGAGCGCGGCGGTCGCGGGGGGGTAACAGAGGTTGCGGGCAATGAGTATTGCGGCGGAGTCAACACCGCTGTATTCTACAACCGAATGATCCAGCGCAATGGCCCTCCGAATGATTGGCAATCTCTCGGCGCCGGAGGATTCGGTGCGCCCTTGGGGGGCGGTCTATTTTGACGTTTGAACGCGGTTGGGAGTGGAATGGTTATGAGCGCGAAGGCGATCGCCGTGTATCTCAACAAAAAGCCTGGGAAACGAATGGGAATGTCAATGAGGGGGCAGCTGTATGAACAAGATGCGATCATCCAGCAACTTGAGGCCTATATTCAAACAATATCATCAATCCCATGCTGTTTTGATGGGCCACTTAGAATGTGGTTAGCGTGCCAAGCAAATCTTCCACCCTCGTGCCCCGCGAAAGAACGGGAAATCGCAGGCCGCTGTGTTTACTTTTAACACTCCACCTCGTGCAACCCGCCCCATAGCATTGCCTGATCCACGTACCAACCTGCGCACCTCTCATTCGCTTGCACCGTCTCTATACGTTGCTGTGCTATCTTGCAAGAGGTCGCAACACCTCTCATTGATCGTGGGGGCGTGAAATAATTGAAAAGGTTCCCCAGGCTCGTTCACTCCACCGCCAAGCACTTGACACGACTGTCGCTGAAATCAATCACCCACTTCAAGAACATTTAAATTCTTCTGCCTTCAATAACGAGCTCCACTCTCACCGGCATCAGCTTCGATTTTCCTCCACCATGGCTGCTCTGGACCACGACAGGAGGAATAAGCAGCCTAGGCTGCTGACGGAGGCAGAGAGAGATCGATTGGAAGAGTTCGTGGAAGCAATACACTACTCCTCGAGGTGAGAGTTGGGATCTTCCGGATCCTTTGAATTTGCTGATGCGTACGCCAGATATTCGGATGATGAAAACGAATATCGGCATGTACAACTGCCTAAAGACATGATAAAAAAGATACCGAAAGACTACTTCGACCCGTCCAAAGGCACCCTGAAATTACTGTGGGAGGAAGAGTGGAGAGGATTAGGTATCACACAGGTGCGTACGACCAAGCAGGAATACCCAAGTCTCGAGCAGCAAACTAATTGCGCGTCTGGTAGAGTCTGGGATGGGAGCATTACGAAGTCCACGAACCAGAACCACACATCCTTCTCTTCAAGTAAGTCGCCCACACACCAAACTATAGGCCGCTTCTCTTCTGACTATGGCTCAGGCGACCCATTAACTATCAGCCACTGGTGCCACATTAGCAGCAACTGACCTCCTCTCAGACTTTTGATACCTCACCTGCACGGGTCTCCATGTATGTCAGTACTTCAGCATTTCAGCCTGCGACGGTATGCATCAACGGAACATGTTTTGAGCGTGGATAGCGGCACGAAGCGGAAGATGTTCCGGCAAGGTTGGGCATGGAGATCATGGTTCTCATGTCATGACTCTACTCTGTATTTAGCCATCGATCGATAACCCGCATTTTTAGAGACGTTTGCAACCAGAGAGCTACGAGAGAGCAATCTTTTACCGCCGGTGGCAGCTGTTGCACGACTCCGGACTGCGCTCATTTGACGTTCTTGTCAAGCCATTCTTCCCACTGTTGACCGGTAAAGCTGCTTGAAATGCTTCCCTCTTCGATACCCTGGCATGGTTCTTAGCAAGGCCTGCTATATTCTCGAAAGACAACCACTCACATCGAACAAAATGGTTGGTGTTACATGAACACCTACACGTCGATTCGCCTGTTCGCCAGGTCATTAGGTACCTGATTGCCCCAGAGTCAACGAGAAAGACTCACCTTCACCATCAGCTTAACATCATCTGTAACCTTGTTCCCAACATTCAAACTTCCTCCCTCTCCAGGCTTGTCCGAAATCTCCAACAGCTCGAACACCTTGCTTTCCTCCAATCCAACGCTTCCCGCCAATTTCGCCAGACGCCTGTACGTATCATTCCGCGCCTCGTGCACGACATTCACATCAAAAAATTCCTTCTGGTGCTCAAAAAGCGCCTCGCTGAAGGGCCAGAATTTATCAGGCGCAAGTCTCAGTACAGCCGCCCCAGCTTCATGCACAAGAGTACTGGAAGGGTGCCATGGTTGAATTTGCTGGCGAAAGAGGAACTGGACCTTTGCAGGGTACTTTTTGGGGACATTGGGAAGTACAGAATTGTAGAGGGTGTTGAACATTTTGGCGGAGAAGGGGCAGACGTAATCGAGGTAGAGCTCGATGGTGTGGATGGCTTTTGGCGAGACATTAGCGGAGTAAGCTTGGCCAGCAAACTTGGGAGCGAGTGCCATCCTGATGAAGAATGACTCGAGTAGTGGTAAAATGTAAATCGGGCTCTGAAGGAGTGTAAACTTGGAGAATGGCGGAGCTCAACTTTGGCGGGGCACACCATTGCCGGGTAGCAAGGGTGAATGTGAAATAGAATTCGCTGCCGAATGTCGACGACACAGGACCAGACTTTTTGAGTCCTGCGCAAGCGCATCACCCATGAACCCTTTCTATGGGTCACACTCCTATACAAAACGCTATTGGAGTCGAACGTTACCTGCTTACAGCTCACAATCGCCCCAGATCTGGCCCGATTTTGCCATCAAAGTCTCACCGCGGGCTATTGTGAATCGAGGATGAAGGCCGGCCACCTCAACGAAAGCTCGTGTTAAGGCGCACTCCGGAGCTGTCTTTGGGTCTGGCCTGATAGGCTGAAAAAAATGGCGCCCATAGTGGAAAGTGCAAGTCCACAACCAGCTGACCTGGGATTCTCAGTCTCCAACCAGACAGTCGAGCTCGACATTGACCTTCGCTCACGGAGCCTGATAGGTCGCACCATGATCACGATCAATCCACACTCAAAGGACCTAAGAATTATTCGACTCAATTGCAGACAAGTTGTCGTCACTCGTCTCTCGCTCAATGGAAAGCCATGTTCTGCTATTTCACTCACAGATCCTTATAAGAAGGCAAAACTAAAGTGGAACGCTGCTGGAGTTCAACAATACGACATGCTACAGCGAAAATTGGAGGCACAGTTCAAGGATCCTCCTGAAGAAGAGCTGGAGGTGACAATACCCAAGACCGTCAAAATAGATGAGCTAGATCCATTCTCCGAGGAGGCACAAAATATTCTCTTGTCGAGGACTTTGGGCAATAACAAAAAAGACTCGGGCGATGGCTCGGCAATCGACCTTGTTCAAAGCTCCCGTACCGCAATTGAGCAGACAGCACGCTTCACAGCGATCAGCCTCATCATAGACTACGTAATTGAGAATATTCGGGATGGAATGCACTTTGTCGGCTGGGAAGAAGGGGACCTTCGATATCCTCATGCGTACACCACCAATTCTCTATCACCCGGTGCTGCTTGCTGCTTATTTCCATGCGTCGATAACCTGAACTCGAAGTGTAGCTGGGAAATCTCTATCAAATGCCAGAAGACTGTTGGAGACGCTCTACAGCCATCTTCAAGCTCAACACCACTACAAGCCAATTGCTTTCACGACGTCTCGGACAGCGTCAATGAGACCAACGGACTTCGGAAAGTTGATGTTCAGTCCAATTTCAGTGACGAAGACAAGGCGCTGGATCTAGCAGTAATATGTACAGGAGACATGACCGATGAGGTGAGATTCTTTGGTATTCGCATGTACTGCTTGAACTAATAACTATAGATTGTCGATGCTCGAGACCCTGCGAGCAAGACTACATCGTTCACGTGCATAACAGCTATCTCAGCGCAGCACATTGGTTTTGCCATAGGCCCATTCGAGCATGTTGACTTAGCAGAATTTCGTGAGAGTGAGGAAGATGAAAGACTCGGCCAAAACGCCGTTCCCGTTCATGGCTTTTGCTTGCCAGGTAGAGTCGACGAGATCAAAAATACGTGTCTTCCAATAGCAAAGGTAGAGCTCACAAGTTAATATGTGATAACTTACAAGACTGACAGGGTCCTAGGCTATAGATTTTATTACTATGACTTACGGCTCGTATCCATTCTCAGACTACAGTCTTTGTTTTGTGGACGATCTACATCCAGATATCCTCGACACCGGTTCTTTGTCAATATGTAGCAACCGGCTGCTATTTCCAGAAGATGTCATCGAACCTTTGGATCGCGTTAGCCGCCAGCTAGTCCATGCTCTTGCTGTGCAATGGATGGGCATCAATATTGTGCCAAAAGACCCTTCTGATTTTTGGGTCGTTGTGGGCATTGCCTATTTTATCACTGATATCTTCATGAAGAAGCTGTCCGGTAACAACGAATACCGTTATAATCAGAAGAGGGCAGCAGACCGTGTTGTTGAGCTCGACATCGATCGTCCATCACTGTACGACACCGGAGCTTTGATCGCCCTCGACCCATCAGAGCTTGAATTTCTGGAACTCAAAGCGCCTCTGGTTCTCTTCATACTGGATCGAAGACTAACGAAAGCGGGTACTTCCGGGGGTCTTTCTCGAATCATATCAAGGATCTTTTTGAATGCCAAAGTGGGTGACCTTGCCAATGGCTCCATCGACTCACCATACTTTATCAGGACATGCGAAAAGCTGGGTCACATGAAATTTGACGTTTTCTTCGCGCAATGGGTTGAGGGAGCCGGATGCCCTAAGTTCCGCGTCACTCAAAGATTCAATAAGAAGAAGCTTGTAGTGGAAATGATGATTCAGCAGAGTCAAGCCGAGAACATCAAGGATCGAGACATGGACAGTGAATATTTCGTTCGAGATGTCAAGGAAGAGCATAAAGCGGTCTACGCAGGTCCCATACAACCAGCATTCACCGTAAGTACCCTGAAGGGTTTCCGAGTGGAAGTCTTACACAATTTCCAGGGTCCAATGACCATACGTATCCACGAAGCTGATGGCACACCATACGAGCATATTATTGAAATCAAAGACTCCAAAACGACATTCGACATCCCGTACAATACCAAGTATAAACGACTCAAACGAAGTCGGCGGCAGAAGGAAAGAACTGCGGCAAGCGTGGGAAATGAATACATGGGTGGCGGAAACGACGATGTCCTATTATACTCTTTGGGTGACGTTCTACAATCCGAAGAAGAGATGAAGGAATGGAGGCTTGCGGAGTGGAGCAAAGATGATGAAGAAAAGATGAGTCAAGAGTCTTACGAATGGATACGCATGGACGCAGATTTTGAATGGATCTGCAAGATTTCAACGTCAATGCCACCATATATGTGGGTCTCACAGTTGCAACAGGACAGAGACGTTGTAGCTCAGCTGGAGGTAAGTCAATACCCACGGATAAAAAGTGCGGCTTCTGACGTAGACCAGTCAATTCAGTGGATGAGTTTTGTGAATGCACATGAACTGGTTTCCACGGTACTTGTACGAACGCTAATGGACCAACGATACTTCCACGGCATCCGTACCGCTGCAGCAGCTGTTCTAGCAAAAAACGCCAAAAGTGAGGTGGGCTGGATTGGCTCTTTCCATCTCGAGAAGGCCTTTCAGGAATTCTTCTGCTATCCAGGCTCTCCCATGACGCGCTCGAATGACTTTACCGACCGCGCATCTTACTACATACAGTGTGCGATCCCTCAGGCGATGGCGAAAATCCGCAACCCAAGCGGCCACACCCCTTATCAATCGAGAAATTTTCTCTTTGAGAAGCTGAAGTTCAACGACAACTCGAATAACCAGGTGGGAAGTCTACAATGATGTAGACGGATATGTATCTGACTTGCTTAGATCTCCGATTGCCACTATGTCGCCACTCTTATGAGGGGATTAGCAGAAGCCCTAGCTTCGAAGCCGCCGTTTCCGGCAAATGATCTTGATGATTTCGAAGATAACAGCGAAGACAACCAAGTATTTCTCAACGCCTGTCTGGAAGAGATCGATCGACACCGGCGTATCGATGAATGGATCCCTTCCTACCACAACATACTCTCAACTACTGCTCTGGACTGCAAGCGAATATTAGCTAAAGCTGGCATCATCCAGACCAGGCCTGTGGATTTCTTACACTACACGCCAGATGGTACTTCGGAGTACCTGCGCCTCAGTGCTTTTTCGAATGTCATGGCTTTGGGCTTTGCGAAGAACCATGCTATACTTCGTTGGTTCCTCTTCGTCCTAGGCACAGATCCTTCACCCTATGTTCGAGAGAACCTGCTTCGCATATTTGGCAAGGCTCTTGGTGCTATTGCGGTGGGCGAGCACTTAGAAGTTGCCAAAGAACAAGCAGCTCAGCTGGACGGTCTCGTCATTGAGCAAGAGTCAACCACCGAAGGCCGGCAGGCGGATCTAGCGCGGAAGCAAACAGTCGAGGGGGCGCTCAATGCTTTAAGAGATGAAGTGTCCGCGGACCCCGTCCTGAAGAAAGAGCTGTGGAAGGCTATCGAATCACCAACCCTATCCTTACGTCAACTGGGCGAGCTCCTGGGCATCTGCGACTGGCTATATGAACCCGACTCCAAAATCATCGTCCTCCTCAGATACCCTCGATACTGGGAAATCAAGAACCTGGGCAAAGGCAAACTTCTCTTCACCCGCACTTCTCGCGTCCGCACAACCATAGCTAAACGCAAAGCTGTCGCTGCTCTTCCCCAGCCCTTTATCAAACGAGAGAACAGTATCCCTAACAATGGCATGCAGCCGCCGCTCAAACTAATGTTCAAGCCAAAGAAGCCTCCAATGCAGAGTACGGCGTCTGCTTCTTCGGTCACGAGTGTAGAGAGCGTGCCGCCGAGCCCAGTAGTAGAAGGGGATAATGCCAAGCCGAAGCTGAAGATCAAGTTCAAGGTTGGTGGCGGCGCTGGGAGCCCTTCGTGAAGGATCAAGTATTCGTTGGATGATCACAGTGATTCTAGGCGTTAAGGCTTTAGCGCAGATGCGATTGAGATGCGATACCCAAATTTATGTATTAGATGCTGCTTGAAGCGAGCGCTTAAAGATTGTCTTACACTGGCTTCTATGTAAGACGCGTTGTAACTTATGTAACAGCGACCCGATAGGCGCCTTTTTTCATTAACGAAGCTCAATGTTACGGTCGGCGATGGGCCACATCAAGGAACCTTCAAGACCTTTTCAAGCTGCAAGATGGGTACACTCAAGAGTTCTCGCCTCCCACTCATACTTCTATCGATACCCTGCCTATCTGCTCTGGCTCTGAGCTCCGCCCACGGTCAATCGGCAGGTCTCGCTATGAACCTCAGCCCAATCGTACATCGCTCGCAAGCACCCGCACCCCTTCACGACCGCGGAACCGAAGCCTCCAGCAGCCATCAGAGTCCCCTCATCTGCCTCCGCCTCACCCGCCTCACGAAAATCCTCCCCATACAAGCAGGCGCCACAGCCCTCACAGCCTTGTACTCCCACCTGCACGCGAGTGCTTCAACTTCCTGGGTCAATCAACCATATCGCCAATCCATAACCGTCAACTACGGCCGCCTGCAACTGTACATGTACTCTCCACTCACAACCATCCCCTGGTCCTTTGTCGCCAGTTTCGCTATGGAAATGCTGCAAGCGATTCCGATGGGAGGGATGTATGTGAGTCTGTATGAGGGGTTCTATAGTTCGCCGGCGAGTTGTGCAGGGTTGTGGGAGGCGGTTTATGCGAGTGCTCAGGGAGCGAATTTGGTGTGGGCGACTTTGCGGGTGGTGGACGATCCGGGGCATTTTGTAACGGACTAACTACATCCGATGAGATAGGAAACCAAAACCAAAAAATGGACGTTGAAGACAGACAAGACAGTCTTGTGCGATGTTGTTTGACCTCGGCGTATTGATAATCATCGGTATTTACGTTGCTTTCGAGTTTGTATATTAGCCCTGTCCCAGTCAGATGTGTAAAGGGCAGAATACAAGAGGTGAACAGAGGGATCGAGAGCAGATGAATCCTTTATTCGAGGCTCATGGATAGACTTGTTGAGTACAAAAATACTCAACTGGCGCGCACAGATGAACATTTGCAAAGTATATTCCGCAAATCACTCGACAGTGACACAATTTAACACCGCATCTCATGAGAATACCGGCATGATATTACCCAAGATGCGTACCGTTACGAAGCGGAACGCGCTGCCAGTACAGACACGAGCGAAAGAGAATGATTGAAGAAGATTATGCACCTCGACAAGGAGAAGAGTGAAGGAGATGATGTGTGCCTAAAGCGAACCCCAGCAAACAGCACGATTGTAAGCAGTGCCAGGGATTTAAAAAGGCAGCTTTGGTCTCGATCTGCGTCATACTCGGCAATGTGCGTCTCAAGACGGGAGTGAACTTGAGGGCAAGGGTATGTTGAGGACGCGACTGTGAGGCCATTCTGTTCCTTCTCACAGCCCATTGATCCGTAGTCTATGTGATCATCTAGAGTCAAGGCTCATAAATACAAGTAGCGAAATCACGGATGGTCACCAGTCAAGTAAAGGAGGAGAAACTAAAGTCACCAAGTCAAGTCAAGTCATTTGATTAGTGCGGTGTGCGGCAGCGTTCCGCAATATTTCTTGAGCGAGTGAGCTCTACATCTTTCTTCAAAACCCTGGATCATTGAGGTAGGTCCGAGCTCGAGCTAGAGCCCATGGCGGTGCCTTCATTGTATCCTCTGCTTCAACTTCCTACCGTGACACAGGTTTGCCTATCTTCTTCTCAAAGAAATGACCCTGCTAATTTGCGGTGACACAGGAAGACCTATCTGCGTTTCATGCCCGTGTCTTCGGCTCTGCTGCTCCTGCCCCACTGCTTCATACAGAGCCGGAAATTCATAGTAGCGATGCCCACAAACAAGCCTTCGATGAAAATGACGACGATCTTGGATACTATCCTGATGGCGCCAAAAGGACGCTAACGGACGACCAAATCGCTATGTTCAGACATAGCGAGATTTACTCTATACTGCGAGAAAGACAGGTGCGCAAGGAGAACCTGGAAGCAGAAGGGGGTGATCAGGATGAGACTATGGTTTCTCAGCCAGAAGACGCTGTCGAAGCCACCGCGTTGTTTGATGAGGATGGAGAGGGGCAGTCTGATGGGGAAGCACAAGAGGTCTTTGCTACGGTTCCGGAAACTACACCCCAACACGTGGAAGCTACGCATGCGAGGAAGAAGCGGAAACGAGGAGATACAGATACCGGCTACGTGCACGGCAGGAAATATGCGTCTCGGAGCGCTAGAGGGTTCGTGAGAGAGCTCGACTCGGCCGCTGCAGAAGACCAAGTTTTAGACTACGGCGACGAGCCTGCTGTCACCGAAGAAGCCAAATCAAATGGATTTGCGGCCACAAAGGTCGCAGAACAGGGTCGTGAAAGCCAAGCACGTCCAAGCGAGGGGAGGAAAGTCTGGTGGCCGATCATTGAGGCGACTTGAAAACCGCCCGCGGCTCATCCAGTGAGAGCATTTGAAGGCATTACGAATCTAGGCCGAAACGTCTAGCTCCACTTTTCAGTCTCTCAAGGCAAGTTCCCTCCTCTTTCTCCTCTCCGTCGAGCCTCTTGCATTCCATGATGAAACACCAATATCGTCATCCTTAGTCGGACAATCTGCAAACTCCTGCAAATCCATACATGCGTCTTGGCTTCGGCTCAAAGCAATGAATGGGAGGAGCGAGTGGATCATGGCGAACCATAATCTTCTCTCTGACATAGCCTATCGCTACTTTCACCGCACAAGTCTATATTTCGCTGTGCCCTGCTAACGTTATTTTATACAGACTTTATCCCCATCTTCATAGAGCTTGTCTAGACGTGACTTAGCCGAGGGAGGTACAATCGCAGTCTACTGCACTTTCCCTCTGTAAATGCAAATGTGAGCCTTCTACTTCCTCGCCGTCTTCCTCCCGCGCCAACCTTCTGAATGATGAAACACCACTGTCATTCGCAGTTTCTACGCGAACTGGCGGCGCTGACCCAAATGGTGCCGCCGGTATCATGGGCGCTATCAAGGAGCCTTCCTTTGATGTCTGATTAAGAAGCACACTTGAAAGCCCTGCTTGCTGTTGACAAACCATTGAAAATGACTCTTGTGCTGATATGAACTTCTCCTCAGGTCACCATCTTTGGATACTGCTATGATGGGCGCTCGATGTCTGAGGGACGGCGAAACTTGGTATCAATTATTGGTCTCGACGTCTGCTGTAGAAGATCCTTTTCACGCAGAAAAGATTAGATGACTATCGCGACCGAGCACAATGGCGACTTTCGCAAGACACGACTTTGCTTTATAGAGTTGGCAGGGTTTAGCATAACGAGGCGACGTAGTCCGCTTCAAAAGCTACCACGACATCGCAGAATACCACTTGGCAATCGCTGCGAGGAATGTCCGCACTTTCCGTGACTAATAGCATATCCGAGCCATTCGCTTTCGTCAGTCGTTATCGGTCTCTCATATCTCATAGCTCATCCTCACTAGTCATTCACCGTCCCCACCAACCCTACCCCCTCTTCTCTCTCTTCTCTCCCCCATCCTTCGTAAAACTCAACCCCTGGAACCCTTTCTTAAGTCCTTTCAGCCTACCCTTCGTCTTCATATACGTCTCAATCCCTACCATAGCCGCATAACTCCGACCAACAGCAGTCATCGACATATCCACCCTTCTCCCCTGCAAGCTCTTGATAAAATTTCTCAAACTATGACTCGGCGTCCTATAATGGCCCAACCTCGGCTGCAGAATGCGCAAATGGCCATCTTTGACCGTTATCGATCCCGCGGCGGAGATTCGGGAGCCGCGGAGGAAATTAGAGTGCCGAAAGACGCCGGGTTGTTTGATACCGTCGTCGAGGTTGTTTTTCGTGTCGGCGACGAAAGATCCATCCCGCGTGTCCTCTGCGGCGCTGAAATAGGCACTATGGCTCTTCCGAAAGCCTTCCACGTCGCTGACCATCATTGCGGCTGTCCATCTCTCCAGAACGATCCATCGCTTGGCCCGTATCCCACCGTGCGTAGGCATTGGTAAATCCCCACGAAATCGCGCCACAGATCCCTCGTCCTTCACAATACCGTTGGTGATCTTGTACTCCGGTGTTTTAGTTGAGAACCCTTCAGGACCTGAGTATTGACGTTATCCAAGTTCTCCTCCAGGTCGACTCTCGACGGATGCTTCAGGTCCACTTGGAACCCATCGCGATGATCGTCCTCGTTCTTCATCTTGCTGAATTGGTCACGGGAGGATTTCGCGGTTGCGGTCGCTAGTCTGCTCAGGGGGGTGCACGGTCGGTCCTCTTGATCCTCTGGGCGCCCTGCGAGTTCTTCTGCGTGATCCTCGAGACGACTGCGGCCTCTAGGAAGGTTGAATAGGGCTTTGGTCACTGGAAGCGTGTATGCGGCAGACGTGTACGCGGTTAACAGCTACTGGTAGAAAGTCCTACAGAAAATATCGTTGTACCTGGTAGGGCTAATTATGTGGCTGGACTGCATGAACGTGCATATGCATCATACGCAAGTTCACTTGCAAATTTTACCCCACGATGTCCTACAGCCTAAAGTATAGTAATCCTAATATGTATGCAGCGGCGCCTATGATTTCTAGACGCATCAATATTCCCTAGCTATCATCAAGAATCGAATCCTACATGTTACCATCAACACATCAACCCGGCCTATTCTCCAGACAGACGAGAAGAACACCCAGCACCCTTAATAACAGCCCAGGCATCCGGCCCAAGACCATCTCCCAGCCAGCATCATTCATATCAGACAACATCAAACGGATACACATCCACCGAAACACTGCCTTTACTTGCGGAGGCCGAGTCATCTAATGTATCGAACTTCCCACCACGGTCCTCAACCAGTCGTATGCCTTTATTCTTCTCTTTCTGGCGACCAACAGAACTTCCAAACGATGAGATGGGCCTGAACGGACTCTTCACGTTTCGGAGCCGGGACGGGACGATACCCTTCAACAGTGGCCCCATCATCGGGAGGCAGGCGCTAACGATGCCAATACTTGGCTCGACTGTGGACCAAATGTCTGCGTCGACGGCAGTCCCTGTGGTTCGAAACGCTGGTCAGAGAGAGAGGGAAATGATCTGGGAAATGAAGACCTGATGGGATATGGAACATACATGTTGGATCATCGATGTCGACTTTTCCCACAAAGCAGGTGCGGACGATACTTGATAAACAGACGCTACAAGCGCACAGATGAACGGTTAGTCTTGTCCAAGGTGGTAGGAAGAGCGACCACGTACAAGCCTCCCAAAAGGAACATTCCCGATATAGCAACCTTCTGTGACTTCTTAATCTGGAGCTCCCATACCACAGATATCGGCAATATCAAGATCAAAACATCCGTGAAGAGGTTCAGTATAGCCATGGACAGCAAGAAAGCTTTCATGTTGATACACAGGCCATAGCTCGTCCGGTCCCAATATAGGGTGGTCAGATCGCACTCGAAAACGACAGCGATGAAGGTGCCGAGCCCCAAGACGACGCTCACAGCGGCGAGGCCATAGAGGCCGATTTTGAATTTGAGGGTGGTGGCTGAGTTTGGGAACATGCGGTGGTAGAACAGGAGGACTGAAAGCTTGACGGTTGTGATAGTGATGGAGTAGACGAATTCGAATGCCCATTGGACCTTTGGAGACACAGCTCCGTCAGCGAAAATCATCCCAATCGATTAGAGCACCTTTCGTACTTTCAGAAATTTGGTTATGGTGTCAATGTCCAGCTCATCTATGTGTCTACCGGATCCAAAATGTGCGCCTTTACGCGGAATGGTCAGCTCAGCGTAATTATGCGATCGCCATTAGGTGAGACTGACAGAGAATCAACATTGCACAGAGGCCTAATGCCAGGATCTGGGCGCAAGATCAGCAATTGTGCCCAACAACCGGTAGCGTTTTGCTGGCATGAACGCACAAGAGACAAAAAGATCAGATAATCATCCCCTGATACTGGATATCTCAGATGCCGTTTGCACCCCATACGAAGACCAACGGCCGCGGTAGCCAGTACGGCCATGATGACGCCGGTTGCAAAGAGATCGCTATCCCTGTCGGCAGTGCGCTGAAGAGGAATCCCGGAATCCATAGCCAGAGTCGTATCAGCAGATCGTTGCGGGATCAATCAGTCTCACTCGCGATCAAATTCTCTCGATGCAACGAGCTGCCTCGTGGGGAACAAAGATGGCAGACAACCAGGGGAGTGAAATGGCATAGGTAACGGAGGAAGCCCGCCTCGACTTAAGAGCAAACGCCCAGAAACCTCAAAGCACTCGCGCGCAAGTCGATCTCGTTGTTAAATCTCCCGTGAGCAACGCTCCTTCTCCCTAGTGGAATGCCCATAATTCAAGTGTGTCAAGCAACTGCCAGTGCCACGCGTTGTCCAGAGCCAAAGGCCAGCGAACGAAGCATGTGGCCCGCCTGATTTATTTTGTGGGGAGGTCCATGCAGAGCCCCGGGGAAATTAGACGAAACCTGCATCTGCAGGACGGCGCGTTCTGCCGTCCAAGTCTCGGTCTTGATTCGTGCGCGATGCTTTGCGCGAAGATAGGGCTTTCCCGATTCCGTGTCTACCGTACCTATCCTACCTTAGCCGAGGGCTATGAGTTGCAGTAACCGTACCTATATCAAATAGTTTAAATTACCGCCTTTTGGCGGTTGCTTTATAATATTACCGTGATGCTAAAAATCATTAAATACGTGATTTAATCCTAGTACTATTTTTTGTGAAACGAGAGTAGATTGGTTGTCACGTATATACGTTTTTATAGAAAGAACGATTATATTCTCGCTACCGTTTCGTATAAGAAACGTTATTAAGCTTGCTAAGCTTGCCAAGCTAAGTCTTCGGAAGTCCTGTATAGAGAAATTTATCAACGCCCTTTAAAATCTAACTTCAAAAATAATCGATTCAGGTGATTTTCTCGTGGAGATAAATATCGACGGTACTTAGACCGTAGAGTGTGGGGCCTGACTTCTTAGAGTATTGATTGTAATACGTCGGATATATTATTAAACCCCCTCGGATCTGTGTTTCACGCTAATTGAAAATTACAGGTGATAATTCAAAAGATTCGATCAAGTTTCAAAGACGTATTAAAAAATATCAACCGTAACTTTCCAGAAATGTATAAAAACTGTCATCGCCTAAAGGCGGAGGACTCTGAGAAATACATCTATTTGAAGAAACCGTATAAGAACCGTAAATCCACCGTTGAACGAAGCCATATGTTTGGCGGAGATATTTAGTTCGTATTAGGTTCGATTCCTAATGGCGCTGGTACAATGGTGTTGCGGTGCTTTTTATTTTCTCCATAGCTATTCGCCAAGGTAGTCGAACCTGCGCGGAGCGACACCAAAAGGCGCCGAGATGCAGGTTTGCAGGGCACATTGTTCACTTCTCTGTTACAAATGTCCCGATGAGGAATTCGCTAGAAGGTCGGTCCATTCGAGGTGCCTTCTAGCGGTCTTCTTCGACATGCCTCCCAGCTGCATCTAGCGGCTGAGCTTTGACCCCGATACCAGCGGACGGCCCCAAAGGGCACAGAGATCGGATGCGGGGAACTGGCACTTTCAACGGTCTAGGTAGGTTAATCGTAGATGTTTGACAGCGCTCTTTTTGGCCAGCTGGGGATAGGTCGTGGCAACCGGGCGACAGTCTACCTACAGTGCAACTGGCCGGGGCCCTAGCCGAAAATATGAGTGGTAGGGCTTGAGGCATTTTCGGTTGCTCAGCATGGATGGATGGATGTACTATCGAAGTCTCTTGGGAATGATCTAGCTATTATCTAGCTCGACATCTGCGCCGTACCGAACAGCCGTTTGATGTCTTGTGCAAACATCGAGTATACTCGTCGGCCGTTGGCCTCACACGTAGATGGTCATGCCTGAGCGACAGCGTGAAGCATGCGTGCCGTAATCATTATACTTGGATATATGGTGTCACATTCCGAACATGCGCTCGACGCGTCGCCATCAAGCCGTCCCTCTATTCGCAAAGACAAAGAGAGATGGTACGGCGACGTGGTCGTCAAAGGAGCAAACACTGCGAGAGGGCACGTCCGATATTACTCGATCATAGGAGCTCTCTGGGTGAGAGTTGCCGGAGCTCCACCACTCGATGCTACTATTCGACTTTGTTTGCCAAAGATCAGCGACAGCAGCATCGTCAGCACCATCTGACCCAAATCACGCTGCGTCTTCCTTTCCCGAGACCACAACGACGCCTGAGCATCTTTCTCGGCACTGATCCTGCTTCCTTACCCACATCGAACACGTGCACAGAGGGGGCAGAAATTGACCCGAATTAGACCGGAGATACAAAGCCATGATAAGGCCGCCTAGCATTGTGAACACCCTCAACAGCGGTGATAACGCCAGCGGAGCAAGAAGTACATGAGCAAACCAAGTGTCAAATAAAACAATATGATATCTACCACGTTTGTAAGGGACGATATAGATGCAAACAATGGAAAGACGACATATGCCTGAACCCATGCGTTGAGGGAGAGGAAGGCGAGACAGGTGAAGGAGGAGCAAAAACTCCACAGGTTCAACGGGATAAAGGAGAGATTTGGATGAGATGATCTGCAACGGAAGTTCGAGCGACGAACAAGCCACGTGACATGGAGGAGACTTTAAGCTTACTTTTGCATTCGAGTTAGGAAATCATCAGGTCTCGTATACAGTCTGTGAGTTGATTCTTGGAAAGAGACTGATGGGAGGAGACAAGATATCGAAACACGCCCAGAGATAAATTGAAGGATGAAGAGCTCCTCGGAAAAGCTACGCTTCTGAAGGTTCTGAGGCTCCGCGCCTTTCCACCTTGGAATGACGAAACGTACACAGGCGCATATTCGTGCTATGAATAAACACACAGACTACGATATAACGTAGAAGAGGAGCTACCTATGCAAGACTTACCTGCCTTACCCCCAGCATTACTCCCCATATTTTATTTTCATGCTTTCGGGCGCATCTGGCAAATCCCCACGACCCGATCTGCGTATGCACTTTCTGTCCGACATGCCCGACACCTCTGTGGGAGGTGCTGCAGATACGCAGACTGTGCGATGTGAAGAGCGTCGGGATCATAGACATAGTGGCATCATTTCGTACTCTCAAACGCCTCGGGATATTCCAAGATGGATCCTACACCATCCAACGTGGTCAAATGATCCCGTGGTTCGCGCAGACGCTGTGAGATTGTTACCATTTGAACGTTCGATCTGGCCAATTGGTATGGCCCTAGCCACTTCGCCACCTTCCCCGGGCCGGGAGACCCCTGTGGCTCAACACTGAAACCTGCCGGAACTTCACGTGGGCCAATTTCCACATATTTTGACGAAGCGCCAAAAATGAAAAGGAAAAACAGGCTTTCCAAGTCCAATTTCGCGTCTGTCCTGCGGTCATAGAGCGGGCAACGTGACTCTGCCAGAAGCCAAATCGAAGCCTCCATCAATTTATCTCCGGAGAGGAACGCCAGTGGTGCATTCTGGCCCAGTATGCATCAGTATAGAATTCTCCTTCGCATCTCCTGAAAGTCGGCTGCCTTCTCCGCAAAGGCCAGGCGTGACAGCAGCGGTTGGAAGATCGGCAGACCAATCATCTCCCTTCCTCTCCTCCCTCCGAAACCTTGTCTTAATAGGCTGCTAGTGATCATTACGTACAAGCGGCTGCAACTATCCCCATACAGGCTGTCCGCTATACCGGAAGAGGCTCAAGTGCGCTCTAGATCGACGATCGGAAAGTCCATCTCCATCATGTTCCATGCTCCAGCCACTTTCTTTTCAATTGCTCCTATTGGTTAATATGGACTGTGAAAGCCAATGCCTCTAAAGTACCTTACGGTTACTGACGCAAGAAATGCTTTTTCGCCTTCAACTTCCCAACCCCGCTGGTGCCGCCCTAAGGTACTTACTTTAAAGTATTTTCCTTTCCCTGCTTTTGAAGCCACAATTTGAGGCGCTCGGGTTCCAACTGCCCTGTAGAATGTCTGTTGCTGCTGGTAACATGACGTAGAAAACTAACACGCTTAGCGAGATAAAGCGTGTTTAAAGTCCCCCCAGCCTCCTTTTCGTCACGTAAATAATCTATACCCAAAAAATATTTCATTCTCACCCCCCCCCCCCACAACCTTCATATCCCTCTTGCTTGATCATACCTTACCGTTTATGACAAGCGAGCGTTCCAAGTCTTCTGCTTCTTACGCATACTACTCCTTTCCTCCAACTCCTGATCGTAACTCTCCATCAGAGAGCTCGAAATCCACCTCAAGAACTCCCTCTCCTCAAACCGCGCGAACGTCCAAGAGTATGGCTCCCTCACCAGCGGCCGGCAAGACACCTCCTGGCCAAACACCATCAACGCCAACAAAATCAAGGAACAATCCGGCATCGTCCAAGCTCGGTCAGTCACAAAGCGCCACCGACTCACCTCAAGGTGCCGCAAAACAGGCGAACAACACTCCTAAGAGCGCTGTCAAGAAAGCTCAAGGCGCCAACCCTCCCAAGACTCAGTCTCCCAAACTCGGGCCACCGAGGACGAAGCCTGGCCAAGCTGGTCAGACGGCGAAGGGTGCCGCACCGCAGGCGCCGAAAGCTCCAGCTCAAGCTCAAGCTCAAAAACCTGTCGAGGACACCAAAAAGGATGTCGAAGACACAAAGGAGGAAGACAAGGGCATCGACTTGAAGGACAACGACCCTGCCGATGAAGCCGACAACGAAGAGACCGATGCTCCCATGGGCAAAGTCAGTCAAACCGGCAATGAAACCGGCGAGGAAGCGAGCTCGGCTGTCTCTACCGCTGATGATGATGCCGAGGACGCCGTTGGGGGTGCCAACGAAACTGCCGAAGACACAGCGGAAGACACAGACGTACCGGATACGGACCAAGCTGAAGATACGGCTAACGAGTCTGCAGAAGATGTCACCGGCGCAGCTGGTGGACTTGCAGGCAAAGCTAAAGAAGGTGCGGACGGCGCTGCTGAAAAGGCCCAAGACACAGCTGAAGACGTTGAAGAGAAGGCTGGCGAGACTGCTGATGGCGCTCAAGACAAAGTCGGTGAGACTGCTGAAGGTGCCGAGGAGACCGCCGGCGAGACTGCTGATGGCGCTCAAGACAAAGTCGGTGAGACTGCTGAAGGTGCCGAGGAGACCGCCGGTGAGACTGCTGAAGGCGCTCAAGAGAAAGCTGGTGAGACTGCTGAAGGTGCCGAGGAGACCGCCGGTGAGACTGCTGAAGGCGCTCAAGAGAAAGCTGGTGAGACTGCTGAAGGTGCCGAGGAGACCGCTGGCGAAACTGCTGAAGGGGCCGAAGATGCTGTTGAAGAAGCCGGTGAAGGTGTCGAGGCTCCAGAAGTTGACGGGGTCGAGGATGCTGCTGAAGGTGTCGCCGACGAACTTCCAGTGGATCTTTCGGTGCTCAAGGGTCTCGAAGTCGGCGAGGGTGGAGAAATCCTTGGTGCCGACGGCGAAGCAGTAGGGAAGATCGAAGAAGGAGACCCGGAGGACCTCGTTGGAAAGACTATTGCTGATGACGGAGAAATTCTCGACGAAGACGGAGATGTCATTGGCCGCGCCACTGTTCTCCCCGAAAAAGCACAAGAGCTGGCCGATAAAGCGAAGGGCGATCTTCCTGACGTCAATGTGCTCGATGGTCTTGAGGTTGGCGAAGGTGGAGAAATCTTGGGACCGGACGGAACACCACTGGGCAAAATCACCGAAGGTAATCCAGAGGATCTGGTCGGTATGACGCTGAACGAGAACGGAGAGATCGTCGACGAAGATGGAGATGTCATCGGCAGAGCTGAGGTCGTGCCAGGAGAGGCCGCCGACAAGTTGAACGAAGCTGGCGAGGAAGTTGGCGAGGAAGTTGGCGAGGAAGTTGGCGAAGAGGTCCCCGAGGTCCCCGAGGACGCCGCCGACTTTGACCATGCTGCCAACATCGCCGAGATCGCTTCGGGACTCACACCAGACCTCTCTATCCTACAAGGCAAGAAAGTCAACAAGAAGGGCAAGATTCTTGACGAAGAGGGAGAGGTCATTGGCCAACTTACCGAAGACTCTGATCCCAAGAAATGCGCAGGCAAGATTCCCAACGAGGAAGGCGAGATTCTCGATAAAGATGGCGAGGTTGTTGGTAAAGTCGAAGTTGTCCCTGGAGAAGCCGCCGACGCTGCCATGAAGGAACTCCACCCCGAATTGGTGGAAAAATTGGAGGCGGCTGAACAGGCTGCGGAAGAGGCTGAACAGGAAGCTGAGGTCCCACAATTGCCTGGACTCGACATTTTGGAAGGCTTGAAAGTCAACAAGAAGGGAGAAGTCCTGAATGAAGACGGAGAGCCCATTGCTCGTGTCTCTGAGGGCGAGATAACCGAGCTTGCCGGAAAGAAGATCAATGCTAACGGCGAAGTACTCGACAAAGAAGGCAATGTCATTGGTAAGGTGGAGCTCATCCCAGAGGCGTTCCCAGATGTTCCCGCAGAGGGTGAGGAAGAGGGCGCTGAAGAGGATGGCGCTGGAGAGGAGGGCGCTGGAGAGGAGGGCGAGGAGGCTGCGGTAGAGGCTCCTCAGCTTCCAGGCATGGATATTCTGGAAGGACTCAAGGTCAACAAGAAGGGAGAGGTCGTCAACGAGGACGGCGACGCCATCGCCAAGCTGGTTGAGGGTGACCTCGAGGCTTGCAAGGGCAAGAAGATCAACGCCGGAGGTGAGGTCATTGATGCTGAGGGTAATGTTATCGGCAAGGTCGAATTGATCCCGGAAGCATTCCCCGACGCCGTGCAGCCCGAAGAGGCGGGACCAGACTTCTCAGTGCTAGAGGGGTACAAGGTCAACAAGAACGGAGACGTAATCAACGAAGACGGCGAGACACTTGCTAAGCTGGTTGAGGGCGACCTCGAGGCCTGCAAAGGCAAGAAGATCAACCCGCAGGGTGAGGTCCTTGATGCCGAAGGCAACGTCATCGGTAAAGTCGAATTGGCCGGTGCTCCTGCTGCAGAAGAGGAGGCGGAAGAGACTGGTCCAGAACTTCCTCCACTCTCTTCCATGGAGGGCATGAAATGTAATAAGGCTGGCAAGATTGTCAATGACGATGGCGACGTCGTCGGTGAACTTGTTGAAGGAGACGTTAAGAAGCTTAACAAGATGAAGGCCGAACTCGATGCCGAAGGTCAGTTCTGGGATGGCAAAGGAAAGGTCATTGGGAGAGCCGTCACACTTCCTATTGAGGAGCACGAAGAAGAATCGCCATTTGCAGGCCTTGAAGGTCTTGTCGTTGTTGCTGACGGATGGGTCGAGGACGAGAACCAAAACAAGGTGGGTATCCTGACTGAAGGCGATCCCAAGAAATTGGTTGGTAGGGCAGTGGACGAAGACGGAGACGTCATCGACAACCGCGGCAATGTTGTCGGTCACGCTGAACGCTACGAGGAGCCTGAAGAGGAGGAGGAGGTCAAAATGGATCTGTCAATTCTCAAGGGCCTTGCAGTTAACAAGCAAGGCAATGTCATCGGTCCTGAAGGCGTCCCAATCGCTCGTCTCGTGGAAGGCAACGCAAAGGAGCTTGCCGGCAAAAAATGCGACGAGGAGGGCCAGCTCTGGAACGATGCCGGCAAGGTCATTGGACGTTGCGAGCTTATCCCTGACAATGAGCGCGAGGCTAAACCTGAAGGTCCTTTCGCCGGTCTCGAAGGCTGTATTGTTGTCAAAGACGGCATGGTTGAAGATGAAGATGGAAACCGAGTGGGAGTTGTTGTCGAGGGCGATGCGAAGCGACTTATTGGCCGGGCTGTTGATGAAGATGGAGATATCATTGACAGATTTGGTAATGTCAAAGGTCACGCCGAGCCCTACGAGGAGCCTGAAGAAGAGGTTGTCGATCTGTCTTCCTTGGAAGGAAAGGTCGTCAACAAAGCTGGTAACGTCGTTGATGAGCATGGCACAATCTTTGGCCGTATTGCCGAGGGTGACCCGGAGGAACTGGCTGGAAAGAAGGTCGATGGTCAAGGTCAAATCTGGAACGACAACGGCAAAGTCATTGGCCAGGCAGAACTCCTTCCAGGAGGTCGAACGCAAGCACCGGAAGGTGCATTCGCTGGCTTCGAGAACCTCGTTGTGGCCGATGAAGGTATGGTGACAGATGGCGCAGGCCAGATTGTTGGCAAGCTTGATGAAGAATCCATGCCAAACGCTGAGAAGCTTAGAGGCCGCAAGGTTGACGAGGATGGAGAGATCCTTGACAAAGCCGGTAATAGCATTGGCAAGGCCATCCGATGGAAGCCCGAAGAGAAGGAGAGACGCGTCAATCCTATGTCGGGCCACGTGGTCAACAGCAAAGGCGAGGTTCGCGACGAGAACGGTGAATTGCTCGGAATGGTTACTGATGGCCACCTCCCTACCCTCGTTGGCTGCGAGGTCGATGACAACGGCTATGTCGTGGACAACGATGGCAACAAGATCGGCGAATGTACACTCATGGAAAACCTCCCAGAGGACGAGGACGTGGGCCCAACGGAAGAGGAGCTCCAGAAGGCAGAAGATGCGGAGATCGCGAAGAAGATGAACAACATTGTGCAACAGACCATTGAAAAGATGCAACCAGTCTGCAAGAACATCACCGATGTAAGCTTCTCCGCGTCCTATCCCATTCTGACTGCCAGCTAACAAGCCCACAGCGCATGGACAAAGCAGACCGCACGCCAAAGGAGGAGCTTGACGAAGAAGAGCTCGTCAAAGACGTCAAGCCCATGATCGAGGAAGGCAACCGCATTCTGCAAGAATGCAACGGTGCCATCCGAGGACTCGACCCAGACGGACACATTGCTGCCACCGCAAAGGCGCGAGCTGCCGCCGGCGAAGCCACGCCTCAAGAGAATGCTCTCGCCAACTCGCTCAAGGAGCTCACATCCACCATCGTACAGACAATCGAGAACGCAAAGAAGAAGCTGAACGACATGCCCCACGCCAAGAAGGAGCTCAACCCTCTATGGGGCCTGCTCACAGAGCCTCTGTTCCAGATCATCGCCGCCGTCGGACTGCTGCTCACCGGCGTCCTCGGTCTGGTCGGCAAGCTGCTCAACGGTCTCGGTCTCGGTGGTATCGTCAACGGCCTGCTCGGCGGCTTGGGCATCGACAAGCTGCTCGGCGGACTGGGCCTCGGTAGCATAGGCAAGTCGCTGGGTCTCGGCGGCGGGAAGAAGAAGTAGTTGAAGAGCGGCTAGGTCTCGTGCATCTATCTGTTGGTCAAGACTGCTTGCTTGCTTGTACACAATCACGGCATGCCCCCCCCCTTGGCAGGGGGGGGAGAGGGGGTTCTCAAACAAAAAGGTCGTCCAGTTCTTTGAATTTTAGCATGTACCTGCTTAGTACCATACCTATGTAATACCAATCTCATCCTTGATTCCAGAAATATGGCCCCGCCCTCAATGTGACCTCAGGTCGACGCGACTCATGTCGCGCCCACATCGGTTGCCCACGCTCCGTAGTGATCATTTACTGCAACTTCGGTTTGCGAAGAGGAGGCCACAGTGTCGATGGCAAGGGCTGGGGATGTGGGAACGTGTGATGATGGATGATGGGCTTGGAAGGGATCGTTGGGAAAAAGGCGGAGGGAGAGAACAGTCACGGAAAGCGCAAGTCGTCACGTCAACGTCAACGTTGAGTATTTATTTCCTCTGATTATAATTTATCTTGTGCGGTTTGCTCTGCGAATAAGATGTTCTGCTAGTATGTTGCTTTCTTCTAAATTGACATATCACCATCCCTCATAATTCAATGCACGCTAACTTCGAAAAAGACTCCTTGATGCCCTGCAGCGCAAGAGAAACTCTCTCGCATTACATCCAGACCCTGGTTTCTCTGACCATCACGGGAGCTCTTCCCAGCTCATTGGAGCATCATTCGGCGAGCTGCGTATGGAGTCGAATGCAAATACTGAGACCTGGTTCGATCCGCCTGCCGCCATACCGCCTTCTAGTCACCCTTTTGTACAGCTCTCCCATTTGGCACATGCTTCTCAGGTGCATAGCCATTGGACACACTCCTCTCACCCACCGTATCTTGACCCGGAGCAGGCTTTGGGGTGATTGTCAGACAGTTGATGCCTAAATAGGTACAGATGCTATTGATGACCAAGAGCGCCCAACGGAAGTAGACTACTGTAGCGAACACGAAATACGCTCGTAGATACCAGAGTTCTACTTCTGCAGTGACTGGCGATAGACCAACTCTTGGAAGGTTACCCAATATGGCGCCACCGATTAGAGGGATCAGCATCACGGTCCAGTAAGGAAACGGCTGCCGTGTTAGATGGGCTAGGATTATCTTTGTTGTCATGCGTCCGAAAACGAACGACATGGTTAAACAGAACAGTACCAGCCTGTTCTCACGCATCAAAGTTGAGTAAGGTGAATAGAGCCAAGCGCAGATGGAAGCTGTGTAGACAGCGATTGGCGTCCACTCCAAGAATACAGGAGCGACAGGAAGACCCTGCTCACGACGAGCCTTGATGACATTGTAAACGCAAGCCGGCAGGTGGGCGACCAAGAAGGTGCCAAATATGATTGGGATCCAGAGATCGATGACAGAGTTGTGCCCAATAATCTCGGAGTGGCCCACTAGGTCTGAGATAGGGTGATGCCACATTTGGGGTCCGTAGTAGCCCGACAATATCATGAAAGTACAGGCGAGTATGAGTCCCTCTGGATCAAATTAGCAGAAAATTTGAAGGCGTGAACAAGCCGCCGTACCTGTAGGACCGTTGAAATACCCCAAGTACAACGTGTGAGTGTGGTATGTCTCCCATGTGGAGAAGAACATAGGCAAACATGGTATCAGAGCAGTGAAGACTCCCTTGGGAGTAGGTCCCAAAGCCAAAGCAGCTGTTTCGCACAAACTTGCCAGCGTACAGTTCAGAGAGTCGATGCCATGACTTGCCGATGGTTAGCATCACATCCATCGTATCTCAAAAGGTCCGAACGTACTCGAATAGCTCCCCTAATCCACTAGACTGTCCTGTACGCCGCGCTTGCTTTCCGTCGACATTGTCCATTGTTGAATACCTAGGACACAAGGACGTATCAGCACTCCCGCTCAAACGCTTTTTAACTATCGCTGCTCACATCCATAATCCAACGGCAAAGCTATAATACAGCCATGAAGGACCCTAGGGCTTGTTCAGCAACCCAAGTACACAGACCGCTAAGGAAGAGCTGATGCAGATATTGTTGCTCACCGGTCCCACTAGATCCGGCATCCAGATCTCTAAACATATGACATTGGTAAGAATGAAAAAGAATCCTAGGAGGGTGACCATGTTTGGGGCAAGCCATAACGGTAGTAATTCCACGAATGCGTTCCACTATCCACGACAGGTTGGCAAGCCGTCAGGCGTGCAGGGAGATGGGGTCCACATACATAGTGCCGTAGAATGTAGTGAGATATGAGGGATTTATCGACGCTCGAGTACTTGTAGGACTTGAGGTGGACGAGAGCCTCTTCCGATACACATTCTGCAGCAGCTGTACCTAGAAGCAATCACCTTGTCAGTGATATCCACGTCCATGCAGCTGACCACTGGGCTCTTCGACAGACTCGAGCGAGGGTTTGAGATGAGAGGAATGTGAGATTACTTTTCTTCATGCTCCCTGCTTCCACTGTAAATGCCTGGTCTTCGCGTTCTCGATACACGGGGAGAAGTGACATGGAAGGACAAGTGCAGCACCTTTTCACTGCATGTTCAAAAGGGTATGGGTATGGCCAAACTTCAGTCAAGGCATGTACGACCGTAAATATAGATACTTTCAGTGCTCACGTTTTGAAGCTTCCGAGAATACTGGGCCGACGTTTTGCCGACGCCTATGATCTCAGGGTCTCACTAGTGAGCTAGTGAAATTTAGCGGTAACTTAGATTATAATATTATATATATTTTTTTAAATCTTTTAATAATTCGAATAATTTAAAATAACGAATTTTAGATAGAGATTATTAATTTAAGAGATATCTTCTACTAATAAATCTTCGCTGTTAATATTTTAAAAAAAAAAAAAAAAAAATTTTTTAAACTTTTATATAAAAAATTATTAATTCGAATTTTTTAAATTTTAGAGCGTTATTATTTAGCTTACTAAAGATTAAATCTATAAATAAATAATTAAGAAGTTTAACTAGATAGGTTAAAAAAAAAAAAAAAAAAAAAAATAGCTAGTTTATAATTTGAATAAAAAAAATTATTCGAGAATTTTGAAAATTTCACTTTTTTTGATTTTTTTGTAATTTTTTTTAGATATAATTTTCTAGAATAAATAATAATAGTAATAATAATAATAATAATAATAATAATAATAATAATAAAAATAATAGAAATAATAGATATAATTTTCATATATAAAATAAATAATAATAATAATAATAATAATAATAATAGAAATAATAGAAATAATAGAAATAATTATTATAAAAATATTAAAATAATTATAAATAATTTAATTATAAAAAATAAAAATAAAATTATAATTATATTATATATAAATAAGTAAAAACTTATAAATTAAATTTATAATTATTTTTTTTAATTAAGATTATTAAGTAAATAAATAAATAATTTTTAATAAACGAATTTTAATAAGTAATATTTAAATTTCTTACGCTTTAATAATTATAAAATAAATTTTTAATATTTTTAAAAATTTGAAAAGTATAAATAGCGTTTTAAAATTTTAAATTTTAAATTTTAAAATTTTAATAAAAAATAAAAAAGTTATTATTATTATAAATAATATATATTTTTTTTTTAATAAAGAAGATATAGAAGAGCGAGATTTTAATAATTATAAATATTTATTAAAAAATTATTATAATTTAATTTATATATATATATAATATAAAAAATATTAATTATTTATATAATTTATAAATAAATATATATAATATTAATTTTATATTAATAATTTTATAAATATTTCTAAAATATCTTATAATAATTATTTATAAAAAATAGAGAAATATTATATTTTTATAATAAGAAATATATATATATAATTTTTTAAAAAATTAGAAAGAAGTAGAGATATCGTATTAATTAATAATATATATTCTATAAAATCTTTTATTAAAATAAAAACTTTTAAATAATAAAATAATTATTAAAATAAGATATTAAATAATTTTAATTTATTTAAATATATATTATTTAATAAATAATTTTTATTTATAAAGATTTAATTAATTATAATTAATATAATAAATTCTTTTTTTATATATTTATTATAATAATATATTATATAAATAAAGATTTATAAATTAAATTTATAAAATTAAATTTTTCTAAATTAAATTAAATTTTAATTTTAATTCTAAATTAAATTAAACTCTAATTACTTATTATATATTTTTAATTTATAAATATATATATATAAAGAAAAACGCGTTTAGATTTAATTAGAAAAATATATTAAATATAAAAAATTAATTTATAATAATTATTTATAAAAAATAGAGAAAATTTATATTTTTATAATAAGAAGTATTAAAATATTAAAAAGAAATAGAGATAATATATTAATTAATAATATAAATCTTATAATATTTTTTATTATAATAAAATCTTTTAAATAATAAAATAATTATTAAAGTAAAATATTAAATAATTTTAATTTATTTAAATATATATTATTTTAAAATAATAATTTAATATAAAATTATAGAGAGTATATAATATAAGATTTTAGAGAGCTAAGTCGTATTTTTAATATTAAGAGTCTTATTATTACTTAATTTCTTTATAATATTCTTTATATTTATTTATTATATTAATTTTTTTTATATTAATTAAATAGATTAATATAAAATTATAAAAAATAAATTTATTATATTATTATTATTAATAATTATCTTTATAATATTCTTTATAATATTCTTTATAATATTCTTTATATTTATCTATTATAATTTTTTTTTTTTTATTTTTTTTTATAAAATATTAAATTAAGTAATTAATTAAATAATTAATTAAATAAATAATTAATATAATATAAGATTTTAAAAAGCTAAATCGTATTTTTAATAATAATAATTTTATTATTATTTAATTTCTTTTAATATTTTTTTATTTTTTATTATAATATTTTTTTTTTTTTTATAAAGTATTAATTAAGTAATTAATTAAATAATTAACTAAGTAAATAATTAATATAATATAAAATTTTA